TGAGGCCCTAAACTCTGCACCCCACTCCTTGAACCCTTAAGCCCTGCCTGGACCCTTTAAGACCTACCTTCTTAGGGATCCTTTTTATGATTTCTTTCCTTGAAAAAGGCAGGATTTTGGGGGGTTAAGGTATACCTTACGCTTGCACCATGAGCCCCAAAACCCAAAACCAAAACTGAAAACCCTCAGGCAAACCCTAATCCCGAAATCCTGAATCTACACACCTCAATCCAAAAGCCTAAATGGGCTTGGATGCACAAGTCCGCGCTGCATTTTCTCTAGAGCTAGGGACTTTAGGGGAAGGGTTTCGCGATTTCGCACTGTCAAATTGAGCATCTGAAGGTTGTCCCTCAAAGTCCATGTGCCCAAATAGTATATACATTGGCCCTGCAGTACCTATATAGGGACTACATTAAGGCCAATGTATATACTATATGAGTACATGGACCCTTAGGGTTTGCTTTAAATGATTCTATACCATTGGTGCGCTTCAGAGCCCTAACAGCCAGCTTAGGCAGGAAAGTGCCGACACATGATCATGGTTGAGGCAAAAGTGCTGCTATGTAATCAGGGACCCTTATGCCATATGCCAGGATTTCGGGTGCCGTGTTTAGGGTTTAGGGACACACCGGCAAAAACAATCCTTCATTTTCAACATTGTCTCTTTTGTCAGTAAGGATGCAGCACACGGCACAGTTTCCCCTGTGAAGGAGCCGATGCACCGCACATCTATTTGTAAGACTATGCTTTGGGGTTTTAGGGATTTGGGTTGGCGGGCTTGGGGATTAGAGTTTGGGCGCATGTAGTTTAGGGATGCGGTTAGAGTTGAGGGATGACAGGTTGAGGGCTGAGGACGTGCGTTCTACTACGGTGGTTTCATGTGGTTGGGCGTGTAAGGTTTCGGGATCGCACGCATTCCGCTCGAAACTGATTCTGATGAACCTCCTTCCAGTCGGCAGCAACTCAGCGACAAGAAACCGGCTTCTGTACTGCAGTCGGAAGGGCCGTCATCCTGTCATCCTTGGGGGTCGTTAATTCGAAGCAATACCCATAGGCTCCATAGTAGTTCCTTTTTGGAAGTACCTTCTAGGATCCTAAATACAAACCACAAAAAAGGAACTACTATGGAGCCTATGGGTATGCTAAAGGCCTGCATCATCGTCACGCTCGCCTTCCGAACCTCAGACAACCTCGTCGCAGCCTACGGCGGCTTGAAGAGCATTTATCAGGTTTCAAGCTTTGCATGCCTTTTTTGGTGGGCCCTTGTCCGGCCTGTTGTTGGTAAGATGACATTCCCGGCTAGGAACGTTCGAAGGCATTAGTTGTGACCTGCGTGCCGGGGTTAAAGGTGTGCCGACACCCTGCACCGCTGTCCCCTGTGCATGGCGATAGGGGTAAGTGCAGGCTTCAAGTCTTGTGGGTGTTCTTCAAACGAAGACTGTCAGCCCAATTCCGGCACCTTGATAACCAGCTACTAACGCAGAAGCCCATGGCAGAGAGAAGAAAGTTTTAGATTTCGTAGCTGTGTCCAGCAGGCCTATGTAAGCATAAACCCTTCTCAGAACCTTCGATAAAGCAGCCTCTACAAATATATGCAGTTATAGCTCGTACCGGTGCTTGTGAGGGGACTTTAGGCCTACATCCTACCGCCTTCCTTCCCAGCTTACAGCCTGGTCCAGACGTCCATTTGATCTAAAACAGCTGACACTAAATCCTAAATCCTAAACCCCAAAGCCTAAATCCTAAACCCTAGACCGCAAGCCCCAAACCCCAAACCCTAAACCTTAAGACCCCAAAGGCCGAATGCACTTAAACAAAGCCAAACCCCAAGCCCTGAACCCGAAAGCCCTTGAAGTCTTGTGCAGTGCGGCTCCGAAGGTTCAGAGCCCTAGCATCTAAGGGTTTTGGGTGTAGGGGTTAGGGGTTACGGTTTAGGGTTTTGGGTGTAGGGGTTTAGGGGTTACGGTTTAGGGTTTGGGGTTTAGGGCTTTGGGGTTTAGGGCTTTGGGGTTTAGGCGTTTAGGGTTTAGGGTTTAGGGGGTTTAGGGTTTAGGATTTGGGGTTTAGGCTTGGAGGGGCTCCCGGTCAGGGGATGGACTTGGACTTCGGATTTCGGGCTTACCTGGAGCCTAAAGAACCTAGAATTCTGAGGACGCATACATTTTTAAAGCGCAACAGGGAGCAATGAAAAAAGCAGGGTATGTACGTGTCGGGTTTCGGGTTTGGGCGCTTCGGATTTAGCGTTCGGGGCTTCGGGTTTGGAGTCTGGGGTTCAGGTTTCAGTGGTAGGGCTGTGAGGGTGTCTGTAGTCACTGTAGTCTATCACACTATAGTGGGTCAGCCCAGTCAGCAAATATCAGGGGCTATTGAAGACTTTCAGATCATGAAGATTGAAAGTAACTCCCCTAGAAACCAAAGCAGAAACACTTTCTCGAAGGCTTCGAAATCTTCTAAACCTGGCTTCCATCTTAGTGTTTGGACATGGCTGCCGTAAAGGTTAACTTGCAGTTCCTCTAGAAATAAGCAATTCTTTGTCGCTCTGAAGCTGATGCCCGGGACCCAAAAGCCCACATCAGCCAGACAGGCATCGCCGTGACTGGCGCATTCATTTTCACAACACTGCTGCTCTTTTGGGTTCTTTGGCGAGCCTCTCGGCATCCAGCCCTACATCGTGTGGACAGAAGTTTTGACCTACTGGACCTTTCTTGTCTTAAGACGTCTTGCGGAGTAACGGAGTACCGAAAAGTGCGATCTGAGTTCGACGAAACAACGAATAGGTCAAACTTTCATCCTACCACAGCAATCCCTAAAACGGGTCTCAGAGATCTCGTTCAAGCTCAATCGTAGGGCTCCATGTTCACCTAGCGGTTCGGGCTTAAAGGTGAAGCTAACAGAGACACTACTGACGAATGTGTTAATCTCTTGCATGCGGCATTTCTTTGAGTCTTAGAGTCCGGTGCCATGTCCTCGGTTTCGATATGGAGCGTACTATTTTGGGCACTGCTCTTTGTCAGAGTCTTCGGGGTTAGGGCGTGCTACTTGTCGCTGCTGTTTCAACTCTCCTGTACTTCAGTCAGGAACGCCCGTGAAACTTAGGCCTCTATCAAGCTGAGGGAACGAAATTCACCCAAAGCCTTAACTACGCAGGAATCCACTGGAGTCTTAACGAACGGAACTGTTTCGCGTCAGGAACGAAACTGTATTTCGGGGACAGCCAAACTACAAGGAGACAAATAAGAGCCTACAGAAAGAAGGTTATGGTGGTGTAAGGTATAGAACTATCTGGTACTCCGAAGAGATGATTCTTGTACTGCTTTTTCTCGAAACCTTCTGGAAGCACCACGGCACTGCGTGAATTGTAGTTATGCGGAGCCTCATGTACTTCAAGCATCACTGAAAGTGTACGGTTTCGGGTTCAGAATTCAGGGCTTAGGGCTCAAATGAGACTTTTTCAAGTATTTGTAGCCTATACATAACCGCTTAAAGGGGACCGCAAGCTCGCAGAACTGCATTCCTCAACTTCGCAAGCTCACACGACCTACTATGCTGGAAAATATGTAGGGGGCCTTTAGATTGATTGTGTGCTACGGTTGATGGTATAGATCCTGCATTACCCATAATAACCTGAACCCTCATTTGTAATGTTTATTTCCTCTCGGGCTGGATTTGTTATGTTTCTGCTGTAAAGCGTAGGGTTTTTCAGGGTCGAGCGCTTTTATGGGATTCCGAACACTTTTCGAAAATGGGCTCTTTGATGGGATCTGATCAGCGACTGAGGGCTTCTAGGTGTTAGAAAGACCTTTAGCACAGCTTGAAGGGATCATTAAGGGCCATTCTATGACGGAAAACTAATCAAAGCTCCAAACAGCATTCCCTGGCTCGATATCGAACTCTACATGAGCCCCATGGACCGCAACGACGGGTCCACGTGCGCCCTCCCCCCCTTGTGTGTGAGTGTGCATGTATGTGTGTGCATTGACTGGCTTGTAGATGTAGAAGTCAATATAGCTGGAGATCCTTGGACAAGCAGCAGGTACCGCATGGGCTGTGGTGCGGACTCTGAGATTTTCCTTCAGGACTGCAAGCTAGCCCTGCATCTGCTTATGCTTGCAAATTGGGATGTGGATGATCATGCATTATTCTGTGCTCAAGGTGTCACTGGTTGAACCTTCAAAGTTCGAATGCTTGTACATGGCATAGGTGCTGTAAGCTACACATACAAATACAGTGGGATATAGGTTTTACGATATATCTACTCTATGCTTGGTGTTCGATCTAGCAAGCTCGTAGCTTTCTTCAGAAACCATGGCCGACTCAGCTGCGGGGCCTCCTGTTGCTGATGCTTTCCTGGACCCATGTGTGATCCTAGAAGCCTGGAAGAAGAGCCCCATCATTATGACCCGTTTGATGCAAGGCATGTTGGTGCATTTGCCCAGCGACTGCAAAAAAATCAAACGTGACCATCTTGGTGAAAACGTGGATTTGCTTGCGCCGATGATTAACAATCTGGGAGTCTTGCCTTAATGGCCGGGTTGTTGCATGCGCAATGTATATATTTATAAGCCTATCTGCTATAGTTTCTGATCGAGGCTTGCGACCATCGGTCAACATCATCGCCGAATACTTCCGTAGATTCTTTATGGGTTACCGCCCCATGAGCCTTCGCATGCCAACCAGCAGCTATGCCGCATATGCTTTTATGCAGTACACACATGGCAGCTAGAATCATAGGTGTGAGTGTGCATTTGGCCTGCCCACCCTAGGCCATGAGATCCAGGTTCAGGCCTGGATGGCCCGACGCCTTATTACTTGTTTCTCCCAGCTGGCTAAACGTCCCCATGAACCACGGCAAGAAGGGGTCCGCCGACTATTTAAATGCTCGGGGATTCCCATCCCATCCTCCCGCTCCTTAACTCAAATGGCAGCCTTGATGGGCATCTAGACTCGAATATGCATGAGCTGAGGTGGTTCAGTTGCTGACGAGGACTCAGCTGGAGGTGATGAGTTTGATGGAGAAGGAGAAGATGGAGAGTCGGAAGTGGGAGATGATGCTGATGATGAGGTGCTAGAAATGGGAGATGATGAAACTCCAGGACCACTCACTGTCCCTCGATTGAAACTGCATGAGCTTTAGGCCCTATTGAAACCCATAAGCCTATATATACTGCACTACCACTACAGCTAAGGCGGCAGCAGAGTGTGTGGACATCAAGCCTGCAGACCCTGTGGAAGCCTCTTGCCTATAATGAGATCCTGTGGGATATGTGCTGTTGTTAGATTCTGTGTATAGCCATAGCTAGCAGGAGAGGCCGACAACTGGTGCAGCCCTGAACCTTCCGAAGCTTGTGACACTGGAACCTTGGTTGAAATTGCCCCGACCCAATGCACTTTCGATATCTTCGTGCTAGCAAAAAGCATGCTCAACTTTATATGCACGATAACTGAGGCAGAGTCAAGGGCCACAGGAGATATTGCAATGCTGGCTACCAGCAAGCCCGGTCCCTTGATTGAATATGTAGCTAGGTGCTTAACACCCGAACGTGACCCCGGCTGCAGGCACAGGCTCTGCAGCATCCTCGACATCATCGCCACCGATCGTGACGCCACCTCCACGCACCCAGGTGGCAAGATCCCATGCATACATGTGTACCAATCCATGCAGTACAAAGGCTAGTGCAGAAACGGTGAACCCTCCTTCCAATTATATTAAATTATAATGTAATCCTCTATATATATATATATAAATAAATCCCAACCCTAAGGCCTAAACCCTAAAGCCTGAACCTATATTAAGTTGAGCCAAGGTAAAGAACCGCTGAGCCCAAGAAGCCAGGCAAAGCAGCGCAAGCAGCACTATCTGGTAAAGGATCGCTCCTATGGGTACTTGTGTGTGCTATGTGGAAACCACTCACAAGACATCAGTGCTTTGAAAGCCAGGCCATGTTTCCCCCTGCCCGATCTGCAACCTTTGGATGAGAAACGCGAGACAGCTTCGAAGTCAAGTGGTAAGCCCTCAAAAGCAGGGTCTCCGCCCCGTGGTGTGAGACGAGAGCGCAGCCTCACAGCAACCGAAGCTGAGTCAGAGGTGACCCCAAGCCAAGCAATGATGCTGGAGGAGTTGGCATCTTTGCAGAGACAGCAGGCCTTGTTGGAGGAGCTGATGCAGCTGCAGGAGCTAAAGGATTTTGAGAAGGCACTGCAAGAGGAAGAGTATCAGCTAGAGCAGGCCTTACGGCAGTCTGCTTTGGACGCGGAGGAACAGGAGCTGCTGAAGCGCAAACGCAGCATGGAAGCTGACGAAACTCAAGCAGCCCGAATGAAAACCCCAAAGGTGACACCCCTGAATGAGGCCATCTTCGAAGCAAAGCCCCTTCAAGCTGAACAGGCCCCACCAGCAATCCTGGAGTCAACCAAAGCAGAGTCCAACGAAGCTGGAGAAGCCCCAGCAGCAATCCTCATGGAGTCAACCAAAGCAGAGTCCTGTCATGCTGGAGAAGCCCCAGCAGCAATCCTGGAGCCAACCGAAGCAGAGTCCCCAGCTGGAGAAGCCAGAGCAGCAATCCTGGAGTCAACCAAAGCAGAGTCCCCAGCTGGAGAAGCCAAAGCAGCAATCCTGGAGTCAACCAAAGCAGAGTCCCCAGCTGGAGAAGCCCCAGTGATCCGTCTCGAGAAGCACATGGCTGTTCATGAGGGGGTGGTTTGCTTCTTGGTTGCAGTGCCAGCTGGATGTCATGTGTACATTGCATGCATGATATAGGCCCGGGGTTGTTCTGGCAGCATTGGATCCGAGGTCCTGATGTGGTGGACACCCTGCCCCAGGAGTTGTTCTTTGACGAGCCGCATGTGGGAGCAACTTTGGCGATAGACGACGAGATGGCTGTTGATTTGCCAGGGACATGTCGAAGGCTCGAGGTGCCTGAGGGAAGGCTCGAGGTGCCTGGGGCAAGTGATGCTACGGTGGAGAATGAGAAGGTTGAGAAGGCCTCTAGTGTATCGCTGAGAATCGAACCGGTGTCCGATTGTGATTGTGACGAAGACGGGGAGGAGGAGCTACCAGAAGAGGATGTGCTGATCGATTATAAGGATGGGAAGCTAGAAGTTGCAAAGGTTTGTGAGGAGCCCCCAAAGGTTGCAAGCCCCAGCAAGGCTACTGTCTTTTATGATCGTTTGCCTCCCTGCCCAGTCCAGATGGATCATAAGCCCACAACACCAAAGGAGCAGCGAGAAGCTTTGGGTATCCAGTCGAAAAGGGGTCGAGGTCGTGGTGGTGGCCGCGGCCGGGGCCGTGGCCGTGGCCGTAAGCCAGAGGCTTGTGATGAGCTAGAGGAAGAGGAGGAACAGGAGGAAGTGGAGGAACAGGAAGGTGAGGAGGATGATGAGGAAGATGATGTAGAGAGCAAGCCGGCAACAACGGGTGTTCGCAAGGTGCCTAAGGCCAAAGCCCTGCCTAAGAAGGCAGTGGCCAAAGCCAAGGCAAAGGCGACCGCCAAGGCAAAGGCGACCGCCAAGGCAAAGGCGACCGCCCACGCGAAGGTGACCGCCAAAGCAAAGGCGACCCCAAAAGCAAAGAGCAAGCCAGAGCAGAAGAAGGCAGCCAAGGAGGGGAGAGCAGCCAAGGAGGAGGAGCAGGAGATCCCCAGCAACAAGCGCAAAAAGAACGACCCAACACCGAAAGTGGCCGCGAAACCCAGCAAGACCAAATCGGCTGGCAAGAATGCTGGCGATGCTGCTGCAGAAAAGAAAGCAGAGAAATCCCGGAAGTCTGTTGCTTACCATCGTGCTGTCAAGGAAGCCACAGAGTCTGGTATGTCAGAGGCAGAAGCTAAAGAGGCAGGAAAGAAGGCTCCTAATCTATACATAGCATATGTGTGTGTGAGCCTCAATCCCAAGCCTATAGGTTAAAACTCCAAGCCCAAATCCATCTGAGGCTTATGCAGCGACTGTCTAGCTCGAGCTCGTGATCGATATGTGCCCTGGGTTTTGACCTACGTGCAGTTCCAGCTGAACTGTGTCATGATGTGTGTACCAGTGACCAATAAGGGCATGGGGTTTTCAGTGTGTGAGGCAAGGCCCTCAAATCACGCGGTGTGGGGAGCCAGGATTCATTCCTGCACATGGGGTTTTCTAGTCCAAAGATCCTCTGGGGTCATGAGCATCGATCAGATCGAATCCACGCGAGATTGAAAAGGCCAGCTACGCTTGAATTGCCTGGAATGCTAGTGATGTCTTTCTGGCACAGTGCAAGCAAGTCGACTTCAGCTAGGGCTAGATCTTAAACTAGATCATATATTGTCATCAACAGCATGGAAGGACTTGGCTCGATGAGTGAAGGCTGGGCGGTCCGAGCCTCGCTTGCTGGTGCGCCCTCACCCGAGCTGTGCCGAGCTGTGCTTGCTGTCACCTGCATCAGAGAGTCTGGAGCTATCGGTTGTGCCGTTTGCTTGCAATGGGGTTTTGCTCCAGCTGCCTTTGGCTGAGAAGGGGTTAGCTAGATTTGGTAGCAGTTTTTACAATATGGAGAACACGTATTCCATGGTTGTCAACTTGGTTCAACTCAATGCCCCCAAGGCCACTCAGCTTGTTTATGTCATGTGCAAACTACTTTTTTCCAGTGATCGAGTGCTGCTGCAGCTGTAGATACATCTGAGGTTTTCATCGCGACGGTCAGAATCTTGGGATTTAATTAGATATGGGCCCTAATGAGATTGTGCATTCTGATAAGGTACTGTGTCTCAGATGGATGAGCAACCTGGCTTTCGATGAACGGTACACGCTGTTCGAAGTGTTCGCTGGGGCGGGCAATGTGTCTGCTCTCTGGACACTAGGCTGACCTCATATGCTTCACCACAAACATGTTAAGTCATGGTAGCTCCAGGTTTGTGAAGATCACTTAATCTTGCTAGGAAGGAACATGGCCACACCGTCGCTTCGTACGATCGCCTCTACGACAAGTCTATGGACTTTGTGTCAAGTGCTGGCTTTGGGTTCCTGCCCTGCAGTTCTCCATGCACACTTCGGCACCTGTTGTATTCTTGGCCAGTAGGCTTGATGCATCTGAGGCTGGCTTTGTATGTTGTACTTTGTGAATTACCGGATGCCATGAACCTCATCGCCCCGGACTGTGGATCGTGGATAACAACGAGCCGTGGAAGCAGCCTTCGATCCAGTATAAATCCTTTAGGCCGCCAAGGGCTGCAATGGGTCGATGACAACAATTGCACAGTTTCGCGGAGCATTGACTGCACTTATAGGGTTTATATAATTGGCAACAGCATAGCTAGTCTATCTGGGTGGAGACTAAGGTGTGTGCTTTTGATTCTTCTTATCCTATCCAAGCATGGTGCTTGGGTGTTGGAACAACCACAGGGATCTTTGTTATCAGAGCACCCCCGATGGCAATGGCTATGCAATCGTGTTGCCAAAGAAACCTACCTGCACGTAGGGCTTTAGAGCTTGGGCTGTGGTTTGCCGCTGCATGATTTGATGGGATCAAGTGATCTAGGTTTACAAACAATGCTTCTGGATGGGCCACCATGGTGGCCCCACTCCCAAGAGAACATACGTATTGTCTTCGATGGCTACGATTTCAATGCTGGATCTTGGTGTGATGAAGAAAATCCACAAAGAGAGCATGCAGGCCCCAAAACTGGTCCGAGCCTAGGCTGTCATCCTAAACCCCAAACGATCGACCTTAATCCTAAATCCTAACCCATTCTAAAACCTTAAACACTAAGCCTTAACCCCAAACCTGAAACCCTAAGCCCTATATACACAACGCGACCAGAGCCCTAAACCCTAAAGCCCCAGGCTACTTACATATGTATAATATATATATATATATATATATTGGTTGTATAATGTATATACTATTAATATGAATCCCTATCCCTCTGCTAGCCTTGTCTGCCCTTATTAACCCCACTCGATCCGAGGCAGGTACATCGACAAAAACGGGAAGAAACGTTTTGTGGGGAAGCTACCAGAGCTGAAAGAATCTGGGTACCTTGGCTAGTTCCTAGTCCCTATACTAGGTGTGAATGCAGTGTTGGCTAGATCATCTGACTTAAGGATCTATACCAAGACCTTCGGTGAGAACCTCCTCAAGGCTTTCCAAGAGTGGCGCAAATTGCCTCCTGCTGACCGTGCGGACATCCGTACACGTAGGGCTATAGACCTGGGCAACAGTGACAAGGAGATCTTTGCTTCTTTACCTACTGGGGATCTTTGGCTGGACTCTCGTGTCCATGAGACGTTCCTTTACCTCTATGGGTCGAAGAACTGCCAGTGGCTTGTTGCATCGATCTAGACCAATTATGCAGCAGGCTATGTGATCTGAATAGGCTCCCACAGCTACCCAATTAAGATGTTGTGCTGAGGATACCTGACAGCTGGGCTGGTGTCATGGAGAGCTTCAAAGAAGATGTTGTCCAGAAAGCACCTAGCCTTAATTTGGATTGGCCCTGTAGTCGTCTGTCTTTCTATATGTGCTCCGAGGCCTGTGGCGATGAGTGCCTTCGCTCTGAGCTGCGAGAATTGTCTGAGCAAGCTTGCTCCTAGATTGTCAATCACCGGGCCTTGCTGTGCACCGTGCCACGAGCACGACTTAGATAGGATATTTGTGGTTTTAGGGAACTAGTAGGCCTTAGTAGGACCTCTCGGGTTTGAGAAGAATAGGAACAAGGTCTTGTGTGTAGGGGAAGAGGAGGCTTTGGGATCTAGGGGAAGTATGGTAGGAGGGTTTGGGTCTAATTATGGAAACCATAGGATCACCTCAGACCCTGAAGCTCAGAATAGTCCCTCTTACGACCCAGCAATCTCTACTAGGGAAAGGTTTAAAAAGAGTGTCCAAATAGGGTGGTGGAATTTGCTCTTTAATGGGGCTTCAGATGGCTTCAGTGTCAGGGTTGGCCGGTGGTTCGGCCCTTACAACTTGCATGAACTACCACCACTATTACTATATACACATGCTACTGCCACTCCTGCTACTACGCTACTACCACCACTACTGCTAGTACTACTTCTACAACTAGCTACTACTACTACTACTACTACTGCCACTCTGGCTATTC